GCACAATAAAGGTGTGGATCAGAAATGTAGGCGCAAAAAAAATAATAAGAAAAATCAACAAAGATTTCTTTCTGCATAGAAGTTCCCCCAATCAAAGACTATACAAACATATTGTACATTATAACAAGGTAGATTACAGCTCAGGTTTTCTTTTGTACAAGTCCATACATACATCTTTCTTTCAGCTCTTGCAGTCTGTACATCTTGGTTACAAAAAATACATGCCGTTTTGAAGTATCTATGGACATAGAAACAAGAAATGTTTAATTTAAGGTAATTGAACAGTTTGAACAGAGCCTTACTGTAGTGACTAACTTGAGGTTCTGAACTGTCCGCACAGACGTCAACTTTGTCTGCCAGAAACAAATAATGCATTCAAACTTATGCAGACTCAAATCAAAATGCAGACAACATGATGACTGTGCTCCTTGTGCCTGACTAAAACTCAAGTGGGAAAATGATGACTGATCAAATCAGGTTACAATATTGAAATACATAAAAGAGCGGGTATATTTATATGTGTACATGTGTAATGGAGAAGTGCTCAATGGCGTCTCATTTTGACTTTGCGTCCTGAACTCTCCCGGTGTTTCTCAGAGTCTTGACCACGCTTCCAGTAGTTCTCTGAGCTGATAGTGTGACGCCGGTGACGGGAGAATGACGGATGTCTGTTCTCCTCTTTGTCCATCTCAAGAACTCTTGGCCTGGTGGAGGAAAAAGTTTGAGATGCCAAGTCAGACTTTGATCATCATTTACTGCACACTGCTTCATAATTGCAATTTACATGGCACATGCTCAGAAGGAGAATTGTTACAGCCTCCTCTATCTCCTTTGCACCAGTGTTTCTTAAGCCCCTTCCAGACAAGCAATACCTAACACGAGAGACAGAGACAGACAGAGAGAGAGACAGAGAGAGAGACAGAGAGAGAGACAGAGAGAGAGACAGAGAGAGAGACAGAGAGAGACAGAGAGAAAGAGAGATTTGTTAAAAAAAAAGGAATATCAAGAAAGAAGAGAGCTGACTGTTCTTTTACAGGCTGTATCACTGATGGATTTGAAATTATTTTGCCTTTGAAGTCTTAATTAATGAGCGCAAGAGACACTCACTCCCGCTTCTCACAGTGAAAGCACTAATACATATTCACATCAATTTAATCATTTAACATTATTATTGAGCAGATTCTGTTGCCTGTTTAATAAATCTGACAGTGCTTTAAGACTTTTTATAGACTGATCTGAGAAAATTAACTTTCTCAGTTTGTTAAACAGATGTGTTTAAGAGAATGATTGAGATACATATATCCTGCCTTCTAAGATCACTGATTACAGTGATCTTAGAAGGCAGGACAAGACGCACATTTCTCTGTTTTACACTGTACTACAATCTTCACGTTAATATGACTGCATTCAATTCAGACTTGTGCTGTGTAGATACGGAAATGTTACAAGGTAAAAGCTAGTAAGACTGTCAGAATTCCTTTTAATGACCGTAACATAGTAAAACACAGTATATCATTAAACTCAGTAAAAAAAAAAAATTTCCATCACAACTTCTACATAATAGTGACCAGGGTGGTTATTCAGTTATGATGTAGAGTAGATGTGTTAAATTGGCATCAGATGAACTTAAAGAGGAGCAAGTCTGAAAGGGGCTTTAAAAATGTCTGTTTATAATAACCACAAACTGACTCAAGTTGGGCAATGTCCAGGCAGAGTTGGGGGCATTTTGCTTCCGGTACAGATGAGAGGATGAAATAAGATCCAAGCAGTACAACTAAAGTAACACTGCAGTGATTAAAATGTGATGAAGATGGATTTTACTGTTTTGGAAAGTTCTCATGGAAGCAATCATGTTATATTTTGTCACACTGTTTGCGAGGAAAACAGTAGAAATATGGCGCTCGCATCGCCAAGTAATCTACCAGGAATGTGCGCTTGAACACGTTTAATTCATTTGATTGAACAACAGCAGGGATTTCTTTTGCCAGAGCTCTCGAAGTTGGCATTTCCACAATGTCAAAAATCACCTTAAGCAAATGAATGACAGGGCTGCATTTTTTTAACACTGGGGGTAAAATACCCAAGTGGGTGCCGACTGAACTCTAAATCATGTAGAGTTGATGCTGAGAGTGTTATGGTTTCCCTAAATCTTAATAAGGCTAATATGATATTAGGCTTCATATTGAATTATCAATATATATTTGATGTTAGGGTGGTGGCTCTTCCACAAGTCTGTTTCAATTGGACCCATTAAAACCTCTAGTGTGTCAGTATTTGTGGGCGTATACCTGTGAGCAGCATCGGGGTCTGCTCTGCGGTGAGAGCGTTTGGCTTTAAGAGGAGCAGGTCTCTCTGCAGGAGAAGACCTTAAAGGACTGTCAGAGTCCACTCGAGGTGCATCAGGTCTGGTCCTGGCAATCAGAGGAGGGAGCACAAGCAGATATGCATGGATCAAAGCAAGACTTCATACAAGATATTACTTTTCAAAACCATGGTATGATGACTTACTTTCTGAGGATGATAACTGCGCGCCGCTGCTTGATGTCTTGGGGTCGGATGCAATGGGTGATGTCATCGGCTGCATAGCCACTGAGAAAGAAGGATGCTTTAAGTGACAACGACTTCAGCCCTTCGCAACCTCACAAAACAGTAATACAAAAAATACATGATAGCAAACACAGCCATAGTCACCTGAGTACTGTGACACTCCCTCTGTTCACCGGTAGAACAAACACTGGCTCTGACACGCGGATTGGTTTGAACTGGAAGCGACAGCCGAAGCACAGCGCGCTGTCACTGAAGAAGGACACTGAGACGATGGGCCGTGCAAAGATGTGCTGAGGATCCACATGTGACACAATGCAGCCCCCTGGTTGATAATCATTGATGACTGCACTGTTGACAAAGCCTTCTGGGATCACTCCACTAGACACCAGAGGCTTGATCACCAGCTCATGTACCCAGCTCGGGATCTCATCCACTTCTCCTTTGCGGTACAGCCTCTCCTGACCCGGTCCACGCTTCTCTAGCTGGGATCCATATGTGTAGCCCTCCCCGAAGAAGTACTTGTTGCGGAGGGGTGCCCTATCCACTGTATGCTCACGGTAAAGTCCAGCCTCTCCTTGTGCAACCACCTCATCGATCTTCTCTTCAATGTGCGCACACTCCTCCGGTGTGAAGATGCTCTTCTGCAAGATGCTGCTCTTCACCCGGTGCGCCACCTGCTCCCTGAGCTCCACGCTGTCATCGCTGTGCTCATATTCGTCGTCGGAATCTCGAACCTTGCGCTTTCGACCTTTTCCGCTTCCGTTACTCGTCCCGTCCACGTATTTATTTTTTTCCTCGTCTCTGTGTGGAGTCATGGATTTGAGCTTCTCCCTCAGGTCAGAGTATCCGCTGGCTGCCATGTCAGCCTAAACAATATGCCCGGTGTTAGTGCGACGTGAGCTCTTAGCTAACAGATAGCATGCATCAGCGCTGCATTTTAGCAGTGTTTTAACCGAGGCTGATAATATGAACGGACAAGATGTCAAAAAGGAGTATTGAACGGTGGATATCACTAGTTTAAGAGACCACTCACTTTCACTCACAGCTGTGTCCAGCGCATAAAAGTAGCTAACGTTAACGTTAGCGAAGTTGCTCCGCCGCCCTGTCTATGCACAGAAACAGCAGTCTGGGGTGGCAATCTGTAGATTAAATTATCCGACGCCTAACTTACAAACAAGCAGAGCTGCGACAAACGCTGAGTCAACACTGCAACTAGGTTCTGCCAGCGGAGAGGCTAATGATAGCTAACCTTAGCCGTGCTGCTTGGCTACCAGCTAGCTAAACTAACCTGGCTTGGTCTGTCCGTTACCGCCTGGAAATATCGACAAACCACGCAGCAACATGTCACAGCTAAAGTCGGTACTCCGGAGACGTCTGAACTCAGGTTTTAACTCCAAGAGTCCAGGAAAAAACAGTGTTATATCCGCACAAGGCTTAATCACGATCAGCTTCTACTATGAAAACGTCTTCAAGAGAAAGGCTGAAAATACACTCGTGTAACCTTCCACAGATCTGCGCATGCTCAGTTATGAGGGAGGGAGGGGCTATCACGTGTACTGAGAAGAAGACACAAATCCATTTTGGGAGCCTTGAGGGGACACTTTAGACTACTGCTAATTTTGTCCCTTCTTATTTACTTTCTACAGTTCACACTGTCCATTTAAGTGGTTATGGTAGTCTTTATGTTAATGTAATTAATGGTATTGATTTGAAGCTTTATTTATATTTATAAATCTTAAATGTTTGCACTATTTTCTTTCCACCACCCATCCAGTATTGTATCTAACTCTTGTACTAAGAAACATGACATGTTTTATATTTTAAAGCATTTTTAAGTAAATTATCAGAACTTCTATGTTTTATATCTTTGTAAATTGAATAGGTTTCAGACTGTTGGTCAAACAAATATGTGGTTTTGAGATGTTACCTTGTGCTCTAGGGACATTTGATGGCCATGTTTTAGGCCTTTTTATTATTTTCTGAGATTTAACAGTTTATTGAGAAAATAATCTATAGATTCAATAATAAAAAGTGCCCACTTTACACATCAAAACACAAACTGACATATTGAAAGTGCTTGTCCAATTAACAGTCCAAACCCCAGATATATTCAGTTAAATATCATAATCAATTCAGGAAAAATTGCAAATTAATTTTTTTTGGACCAACTAATCAATTATTTTGTCTCTTAAACTCCTAAAACCATTTTTCACTATTTTCTGGGATTGTTCAGATTAAACTTAGTTGTTAAGATTAGTAGTTACATGCAAAAACAATTAATAAAGAAAACTTGCAGCCCTGCCTGAGAAATTGTTCATTAAAATTGATTGATTTATTGATATCCATGAAAACATTTAGTTATGCCATTTTATACTGATATCTCCTCATACCAAACACTTTTTAAAATTATCATTGTTTGATCCTTTTAATCACTCAGTGCAGTTGTGCTCATATCTCTTTAAAGTAGTAGTTTATTTTATTTTGATAAAATACTCTTTACAAAACAAGAAAGTTAATGCATTAATATTGGTTGAATACAACAATTGTTTACACTAGCATCAAGTCTTACAGTAATAGTATCAATAAAAATATAAAAAAACATGTTACATATCCGTTATAAAACTTTGTAATGACAAGGCACAGGCCTATGACGCTTTCTCAGTGTTCATTAACAGCTTATGTACAGATAAAACATCTTTAGTGTTTAATCAATTAAAACTACAATTATAAAGGTGTCAACCTGAAAGAAAAATTAACTTATATTGACTCACAATATTCTCACTGTCTTCAGGATGCATTTTGTTTAGTTAATGCAGAATAATAATAAAGTAAAAGTGTGACTAACTTCAGGGCAAACTTACACATATGATATCAGTGTGTGTGTGTGTGTGTGTGTGTGTGTGTGTGTGTGTGTGGCACACACAATATACACCTTAAGACAAGAAGAGGTAGAGTATTTTTAAGAGTTTCATCTAATGTATGTGAGTAATCATACAAGTTTGTGCGTACAATTAAACAAGAGCATGTGTTATAACATGGTGATTTCACTGGGTGGCAGGGTTAGTCTCTTCTCCCGCACAGACATCATGTTTTCCACCTGCATGGCGATGACTCGACACAACTCCAGGCCCTGTAGACAAACGCAGTGGACGTAAGTACAGAGACTGCAACGTAGCAGCTCCGCTGAAAATGATCATGTGTGGCCTCTGAACAGTGTCCTTGTCTGCGTTTGCGTCATACCTGCTCCAGCTGCAGCTGAATGACCCGCTGTGTGTTCGTGTCCCCCAGGGTGAGGTCTACATATGGGTAACTCGTTCCAGCATTGGGCCTCTGGGTGCGGCTGGACTGTATCTCCACCAGGGGGACCACTGCCATCAGCTCCTGCAACACAGAGACCAAACATTATAACAAACATCTGTCTTCTGGAAAAATATGACTCTACTTCTGGGCTCATGTTTCAGTCACGATGAGATGAGTCATTTCAGTGCTTGACGATCCTGAATGTGCGTGTGCGTGGTTCCTTACATGTGTATTTTTGTGCAGGAAGTGGAGACCATGTTGACTGACAGCGACAATACAGGGGGCGTAGAAGGTGGTGGAGCTGCTGCTCTGGATGTAGAAGAACGAGGAGCCAAACATGGGGAATGCACTGACAAGCCCTGCATGCACAAAAAACACAAAATTTAACAAGAGTGAGCACAGACATTTTTGTTCTTTGGGGAGCAACCAAATAAATTGGTCTTTGTTCAAGAGGTGCCTCGCATATTTTACACATCCAGTCCAGTTTATTCCTTATGATGAGTCCTACAGTTGTATAATGTCTTCTGTGGCTCTGGAGGAGCTTTGTCAAGTCTGAACAAAATCAGACATCAGGCTTATCTCGGCTTGGGATTGGAGACTACACATTTTTCAACAGCTGGATTTGACAAAAACAGACTCTCTTAATTTATTCGCATACAATTGATTTTCTTGAAAATGTACCATATCAAAATAGGCTATATACTGCAAAATAACATTATGGATTTTTATTTATCCATTTATCCAGTCCAGTTGTTACACATATGTTATGATATGTAAAAAAAAAAAAAAAAGGAAAAAAAAAGGAAAATCTGACCAGTTCAGTCCAAATTACAGTTTAACCAGTGGTGCCTCCTCTTAATGTGAATGGAAATCTTACCCAAAAACTGTGCTCTGGCTTGATGTGGGTTCAAGGTCTGCACTTGCTGCATGTGCTGGGTCACCATGGTAACCCACTGCTGGGGTGGCTGCTTTTTGAACAGAGGTGTGGCGATGTACTCCGATAATTCATGTCTGGAGGAGAAAATAAAAGAAACCAAATCTAAGATAAACAGAAGTCAGCTTCGCTCAATGATTTCTCAGCATTTCGCAGAATGATTTTACTCGGTGAGCTGTTCTGTTCTGCTGTCGGCTCTGTGTGTGGGAAAGAGACTCTGATAACAATAGTAAGAGCATGAGAGGACATGAGTTTTTACAGTTGAGAAAAAGAAAGTGTCATGCACAAAAACCATTGACTACAATGCATTCTGGTCCTTCAACAATGAGCTTCTTTCTGTACGGTTGTTGAACATCAGTGGAAAAATATCTATTGCAGCTTCATGATGTATGAAGCAGTTTATTTTTATTGTATCTATATAAAAGCTTACTGTGCTTGTCTGTATTAAGGACACACCTTTTCTTTCTATCTTTTCACTATTATTGTTCATTTTAATAACAAATTTTCTTTTTTTATTAATTATTTATTAGTTTGCTCTGCTACACCCTCAACAGTAAAAATACGGTGAATTAGGGATCATGAACCCAGCAATTATATGATTAATAAGTAAAATGAAGAAGAAAGTATTAAAAATATTGTTAGATTATCTGTAACACTGTTTTATCATTTGATCACTGACTCTAGAAGCTATATTGTTAAACATTCTGCCTTGTGGCTGAAGAACCATTCTTTACTCATTGTTTTCTCACATGCTGGGGATGAAGATGATGTCTTTGGCTCTGTGCTGCAGAGCTGCCAGTTTGGAGATCTGGTGGAACTGTTGCTCGCTCACTTTTCCATGTGGAAGGACATTTAGCAGGCCTTTACGGTAGTCTGGCAGGATCTAAATATAGACACAAAAACAGTTGCATACACATGCACACACACATGTAGGTAACATACTGTATGTATGTGAAACAGCACCTGGGGTACCTGGTTATAGTGCATGGCGACACAGAGCTCGTTCTCGAATTTGAGGGGCTGAGTCCAGATGACTCGCCTGAACCAGAAGCTATAGTTGGTGTCAACCAACTCTGCCTCTGTCGCAACATCCAGGATGTACTCGTGCTTGTTCAGAGGACGCACATTTTGACCTGGGCATACCCACACACGTAATGTAACTTTTTACACAGAGATCTACAGTACAAATGTATCTATATATGAACTTAAACTAGTCTCCATTAAAAATTCCTATTTGTTATTATGAAGGATTTGATAATCTAATAATCTGACTTTTAGTAGCCAAAAAAACTTAAAATACAATATAAACTACTGACACACATAACGTGACATCATGTTGATATTTGTACAGCCACATGTTGTGTGACCTGCTGTGCTTTTGAATAGCACACAGGCAAGAGCAGCTGCCAGCATGTGGAAATGCTAAATTAGTTTAAAAAACAGCAACAGAATGCTGCAGAATGAGTCCCATGTGCGTGCTTCAAGTGTGTTGGAGCTTTCAGCACTGAAAACTGGATAAATGATTCCTTTGTGCAAAGCTTTGTGTTTGATAATTTGTGCATGTTTTCATGTATATACACACACATATATATATATATATATATATGTGTGTGTGTGTGTGTGTATATATACACATATATACATACATACATATACATTCATGTGTATATATAAATACATACATTATATATATATATACAGCGTGAAAATGAAAGGGACTTTAACATCTTAGCAGAGGAAAAATGCATACTGGATAGCTTTTGGCAGAGACTCAGTGTTGAGATATCGGTATCGGAAATGACAAGGTGATATCAAGCCATCTTGTTATTTTGCCAAGACAGCCTTATCACGACTCATGAACATGAGTGACTTCTCCCACTGCTAGAAACCAGAGAACAGACTGATATGTGATCTGTGAGTGGATCTGCTTCACTGACAATGACAAGAAGATTGACTATGTGCACTAATGCAATGGTTAATGTGTGATTGAGTGTGAGCGATAGAGAATAGATGTCTGTGAGAATACCTCTATTGGTGACTAAAAATATGGCATATTCTTCCATGGCCTCCAGTCTGTGCAAACTCATCTCATAACACAGCTCCTCAATCACCTCCAGGGCAACCTGAAAAACACAAAAATATCAAATCATGAAAACACACGCATCACAGCTATCTCCTCAAAGACGAAACTGAACTGACAACACTGAACACTTACAGAGCACGTTTTGATTTTCACGTGACGTTCAATGCCTCCAGGAAAGAGAAACAGCTGACGTTTTGAACTACGTCCCGCCTGCGGAATTACAAACACAATGTTTACTGTACATACACTGGACATGCTGGATTATGGCTAATTTTTTCAGGACCTTAACACACCTAACCCTACATATATAGTGGAGGAAAGTTACTACGTATACATTTTAACTGCTCTTATATTGATCCTTGTGGTTTACCTTGACATACATAATATTGTATCAGTTTATAAAGTTTCAGTTCAGTTTTTACATATTAAACTACACAAACGATGAAGACAACAAACTAATCCTATGAAAAGAACAAAACCAACAATGTGTTCATCTCTCATTACATTTTGACTTCCCTACCCTGTCTGTGACACTCTGCCTCAAGCCTGTTTGTTCCCAAGTTTCATTTTTAAAGTTATTTCCTAAAAATGAGTGCACTGTAGTTTTGGGTAAATGTTACTCAAACCGTAGCAAAAGTGTCTTTGTTGGGAGGTTTCACGCTACAGTGCCCTTGTTCTCTGTAATGACAGTCTTGCTGCTGCTCTCCCTGCCTTTAGGCTATCTATGTACAGTATACAGATGAAAGGGCGGGGAGGTCCCAAAATAGAAACATACTGCCAAACATAGTTACTGCAGATCGATAAATTTCTTTGACTAAAGTGGTCCTGACTTAACTTTAGATACACAGACAAAACTTAATGGTTTTGGTCTTTTCATGAGATTCGTGACAATAAGAACAGGAAAAATCACCAGCCTTTCCCTTCAAAATGAGTTCCAACTCAACCAGCTACCATATTAATTTGCAGCGTCCATCTATAATAGTAATCCTATAACATAACATATACAAAAATATAGATCTGAATGTGGCTATTCTGCATAATGAGTATCTTCACTTTTCCTTCTAATACTGCTGCTACTGTTTAGCTTTTATGTGTAATGGAGTATCTTTACACTGGATATTTACTAGTTTCATTTAAGTAAAGGATCTGAATTGTTCTTCCACCACCACTGCAGATAAATAAAATAAGGCACTGACCATCATAGCCTTCAGCTCCATGCTGTTAGGTGGAACAATGCGTCCACCATACTGGAACGTCTTCTTCAGGTTCTGCTCACATGCTTTAGCGATGCCTAACACATTTAAAGAAAACATTACATGCTGGTTGCTTTGGTAACGCGTACAGCAGATTTACACTTGGTGATGTGTGTGTTTTTACCCTGATACTGTGCTCCTGCACTGCGAGAGGCTTGCTGCAGGTATTTCAGCAGGAAGGGCTTGAGGACTTCAGAGCAGCGGTGGAAAGCAGTCAGAATGTACAGTAGCCTCCAGCCTCGTTGGCAACTATCCCTGTGCAACACGGGGGTGCACAGACACACTCAGGATTACAGGCTCGGGGGAAAAAGAGGGGTGTAGTGTGTGACGGTTTGTGGTGTGTACGTTATTAATGTGTTAAAATAGACTTACGGTTTGGAGCTGGTGTTAGCGGTAAGCTGTTTGAGGAGTTGGCAGTAAGCCTCATCCCTCATCAATGTGAACTCTCCTATGAGCTGAGGGGAGGACACACACACACACACACACACACACACACACACACACACAAACAAATATTAGCGAACTGTCTAAGAGAAAATTGTAGCCTGAGAGGAAACTGTGTGTATTTACCTTGAGGAAAGTGCTGATCACTTCCTGCTCTGTCGATCCCCTTGACGGAGAGTCACCCATGAAACGCATCACCGCTACATGAATTACACAACCAGGACACAAACACACACATGACCGCACAGAGGTCAACAACATTTAAGCCTTGAATATCAGCAGGGCTGCCCCCAATAGTCGACTAAACCGTCAATGAAAAGAGGCTTAGTCGACCAAGTTTTCACTGGTCAGTTAGTCGCAGAAAAAAAGCACAAACGAAAGTTTCAGGGGATTGTTGCAACACGGACCTTTTCTCTTATAACACGGAAGTCACTTACCGGCGCATTGCTTGTTGGTGCCATGGATGTGGATCTTATTATACATTCTTAGTCGCGGGTGTATTAGCATGTATGGCTCTGCTCAGTTAGCGGTCCTATTAGCTGACTACACCTGGATTAGGATGTTGGAGAATCAGGGGAGTGTTTGTTTACCCCACTAACAAAGAAGCTTTGGACTGCCAGGAGGAAGAGATTTTCAGGCCCCGGGCAAGGGACCCAGCAGGAATGATGCCAGGGAGCGGCGCCAGAATGAGCACCAGAACCGGAGCAGAGCGAGCGGGCAATAGAAATGGGATCAGCAGCCTCAAAGTGAACATGGCTAAACAGACTGAGGCTAGTTTGACGACTACAAATACAATACAGAGGTGATTTACAGTGGCTCTGACCAGAACTTGTACTCCGGGACGACAAAGACATGGCGGGATCAGGCAGGGAGCAGAGAGGCGTTACACCAGAGCAAAGCGAGTTTGTAAGTAACAATTTTACTTTAAACATTATTTGTCAGCTTTGGAACTCAAACCATTTATGATGCCGCCAAAACATATATTTAAAGAATAAAATTAATATCATAAACGTGCAACATCTAGTCAACTAATGGCTTGAACTAACGACTACCAGTCGACTAGGAAACTCTTTAGTCGGGGGCAGCTCTACATATCAGATTTTGTAGAGCAATCCGGCACTTGAGTACTTAAAATCAAAATGTTTCATGTCAACAGAGGATGAAACAGAGCCCAGATGTAATAAGAGTAATGTAATAAAATAATGCAATTAGAGAGAATTAGAAAGTTTAGCGAAGGTGGGAACTTACACAGGAAGAGATCAGCTGCAACTCTGTTCATGGCTGGATCCGTAAACTCTATCAGAGACTCAGTCAGAGGAGTCTGCAAAGGAGAAAATCATACGTCAGAAAGGCGTTATATAAACAACCCAATAACCCCAAAACAACATAAAGTTATGAGAATATAGAGTGCTAAGATGTTTTAAGTTATAGCAAGACGAAAGGCACCTTGGAGAACTTGATCATTTCAGTGGGCTCTCTGGAGTCTCTGTTCTTGCTTTTGCTCTTCAGGGAATCTCTGAGAACAGAGTCAGTCACAAAGTGCAGCCTTTAGATTCAAACAGTGTTGGAAGAAGCTTAATTTAATTCAAAAAAATTAAAGAAGCATTAGCACAAAGATGTATTAAATTATACTCCATATGCAGATAACCGTCAGTCTTAATCAGTCTATTTTAGTATTTACAAGATACAACAGGGTACAAGGTAGATTTATTTGTCATATTACAACAGGTTGTTGAGTGAAATTGAGTCTGTAACTCCCTTCTGCTTCGTAGCAGACAATATACATTACTATAAAAGCAATCATAATAAAAATGGTAAACAGAAATAAACTATATTCAGTGGAGGATGAATTTGAGTTTTAAGTCTGATAGCTTGGGGGGAAAAGCTGCTCTGCAGTCTGGTGCTGCAGCAGAAACTCCTCTTTCTCTTCCCAGAAGGCAGCAGGGTGAACAGGCTGTGGCTGGGTGGGTACTGACTTTTAGTATCCTTTGGGCTCTGCATAGGCACCTCACCTCACCGATATCACTGATGATAAAATTGTACTTAAGTATAGTACTTGAGTAAATGTACCACTGGAGTTGAGGTGGTCTCCGTGTGAGGTTAGTGTTTTTTTGTGTGTTTGTTAGGATTTCCCTGTTTGTGCAAATGTTTTCCTTTGTCTCACCCCCTCCCATTGGTTCCCTGTCTGAAGTACTTCTTGGCAAACTCCAACATGTCATATTTACTGTCCTGCAGCATCCTCTCATCCAGATCTCCATCAGAAAAGCCATCAAGGCAAACCTTCTGAAAATCAAAGACTGACAGTGAGAAACCGATACTTACACAAAACATACTGTATGTGAGCATGTGTGTGCCTGTGTACCTCAATTGTTTGATCTATCTCATGTGCAGCCATGGTGGATGCCACGGCAACGGCGACAGCTGATGACACGGCGAACTGTCCCGCTCCTCCTCGAGGCTCTGCCTTGCGGTCCAGTGGGAGCGACAGGAAGTCAGGAGGCGCAATAGGATGGACGCACTCGCCCGGGAATGCACCGGAGCGGCCGAACACGGCACCAAACTTCCAACCTGACACAAACAGACACAATCGTACATACGCACAAACACTTGGGTGCATTGTGCCCTGAAACAACCCACACCTCTGCTGTAAGTCCTGACCACTATCTGCCTTTCCTCTAACAAGAGGTCAGCTTCTTATTTAAACAAGTCAGATCCTTATCTGCATGCTTTTCTGTCTCATTTACAAGACTTAACAGACTAGCCACTACATGCCTAAATCCAAATTGTTTTTAAGCGATGTTTAGCTCATTGCTTTTTGGTTGGTTCATTTACTTTTTGTTGACTTGAATTTGAAAAACTTTTTTTGAGGAATACTTAATACAGCTTGGATCTTACATTCGTACTTTTAATATTATTAAAGTTAATGTCTTTATAAGTGTTGCCTTTTTACCACTTTAAAGATGATAACAGATTTCATTGGATTGTATGGTGGAGGATGGATTTAGATTAATTAAATCTGACCATATTGTGCTATCTGAGGATAATTTTTTTATCACAGTAAAAATGTGCGTGGAAGCACATGCTCAGTTTGTCCTATCTATTATCCTATCTGTTACAAAATGGAATGACGTGACTTCTCCTCATCTCAGATCTTCATCTAGTTTCATATTTTGTGTCCTCAAGAAATGACATGAATCAATATTCTTCAAATTGAATTGCCATCTTTCTTTGCCATCTGAAGATAATTTTCTGATACACTATTGCATTTAAGAGTGCTGTAGGCACAGTCAGTATCACTACAGCTATTTCTCCCTGGCTTAGAATACTGGCAGACCTCCGCGGTACATGGACACAGTCCAGGTAAGAAAATCTTTCAAAGTCAGTCTGAACTGTCACCTTGTTTATTTTTGCGCCGCGGGCAGAAAGGTGACATTTATAGATCTGATTTGTTTTATATTAAAATTCAGGGATTCAATGAACACTCACCAAAGTCTTGTGTGTCTCTTTTCAGATCTTCCAAAAACACCACCTTCTTCCTCACCACACAGCCGTAGCTGTGACCTGGAGGAGACAGACACAAACACACACACGCTTGGATCATAGATTGACTCAGAAGATAACAGGATTTCTACTACATGTACCACAGTGTCTCACCCTTCTCCAGCCCGTCCATAACCTGCAGCCTGATGATGTCACCTTTGTGAAAACTGAGCATCGAGCGGTCGTCTGTCACAAAGTTTCGCTCTGCAATCACATAGTCTGAGTCCTGCAAGACAGAAAAACACACACCAAGGGATAGTCTCACACTGTTACATGTTATTGTACTTTTATTTACATGAACAATAATTGGACTGAAGTTTAGCCTCAACTTTCCTCATCTACCACGGCTTCAGTCAGTGATTTTCCATATATCACATAAACCTCAGAAAACTTTTTTATATTCAGTATGTGCAGATAGAAGGAGTCCATGGTTACAGCTGTTACTCCAGCTGTCCAGCTTTAACCATTGGCGCCATTCAAATACATATTTTGTACACTGGTGGACAGAACAAGTGTGTGTGTGCAGTACCTTTTTGATCTCACTGATGAAGGTGTCTATGAGATGTTTGACTTGTGGTGCCTTGGCTGAGAACAGGATCAGTTTCTCATTAGTCAGATTGAACTCCAGCATGTTCTCAGAGGGGATGGTTACAAACAGGATGTCTGCGTAGCTGAAACAATACAGTGCAATACGGTAATATGATTAGGCTGAAGCTGTATTGAAGTATTGATCAATCTACACACAAATGAATCTTCTCCTGAAGACATATATATTATATTTGAATTTTTGTCTGTGATTTACAACTCATCTGGCACTGACTGAACTGTAAAATATACATATATGGAATACCAAACCAGATATACAGTAAGAAGTAAGAAGTAAAAATATATATAGAAAAAAATGCTAATAAGTATTTAGAAAAAACAGCACATACGTGTAGGGTCGAAGGACTCTAAAGTAGTCTGGAGCTGCAGCGTTGCTTTTTACGGTCTTTAACAGCTTCATGCCGCTGTGGGACACTGACAACACCTGCACACCTGTTCCTACACTTCCCTGCACACACACAAGATCATAAACACATACACACATACACAAAGATGTTTAAAGAAATGTATATAACACACTAAGTAATTATAATCCTCTGATGATTTACCACCCTCACCGATGCAGGGAACAGACGGGAGAAGTATATTTCCCAGGTTTCCCTGGCTGCCGTGACGATAGTTTTCTTCACATGTTCCTCCACTGGATCCATATTCTGTTCAACCCCGTGTTTAGCTGTCATTCACACAAACAGACACAAGAACTCATGAATGTCAAAGAGACATGTCTGAATTAGAGCATACGGTCTTAAAAAACGTCTGCAGGAAGAACAGACAGACTACCGAAAAGAGCTTTCATTTTCTGCCTTTCATCCTTGGTGATGCGAACACACGCCTCTGACAGAGTGTCATTCACTATCTGCAGGAGAGAAGAAAAGACAAGAGGTAATGTTAGAAATATTTTAGTATGACTTTTCTGTTGTCAGGTAAAAATATGCAGCACAATTGGAAAAAAAGGTGAATGAATTAACAAAGGCATTTAATTAAAAAAAACGTTGGCATGGATATTAGACAAATGCGTTTATCTGTTGATGTTATCTCCATACATTCAGTTACCTGTTTGAATATGAGGTCCAGCACCAGAGGATTGTTGAAGCTGTCTTTTGGATAAAAAACCTGCAATAGAAAGAAAATTACTTACAATAGAATTGATTTCAAACATTTTGACAGTGTATCATGATGTTTTTTTGTACATATACACACACCTCCTTCCTGAGGTACAGTCTCCAGGGAACATTGGTGTAGGTGTAGTGCTCTTCATTGGTGCTCTGATGCAGCTGTGTCTGGATGGTCTCTGTCTCTACAGGAAGCTCTCGAGAAACTGCACCAAATAGGTCACGTCATATTTTAGTTTTAGTTTTATTTCAGAATCAGAATCAGCTTTATTGCCAGGTATGTGTACACATACGAGGAATTTGACTCTGGATTGCACAATGCTCACAATGTGATTACTTACAATAATACAATAAGACAATAATAATCAAACACAGGCTACAGTATAGAGAACACATATATATACACACTATGAACAAAAACAGACAGATTGAGACAATAGTGCAATGAGCAGAGTGCAAAGGATGCAGGAGAAAATTATTATTACCATTAATGTTATTATTATGTACATGTCAGAGATGGATGTGATATACAGGTGCACATACACATACATGCATACATGTCCACAGTGTGATGAGTGCAAAGAATGCTGGAATAAGTAAGTATTATGTACAGGTGTTATGTACATGAGGTAGGTGGATTTGGTACACAGTATATACAATATACAATATGAACAGTATGAACAGCATGAACAGCTCTGAAATAGAGAATGATGAAGAAATAGTAAGTGGTATCCAGCAAACAGGTGGCAGAGTTACTGGGTTATTGCACAGGAATGGTTCCTGACATTGTGAGTCAGAGTCAGCTGTTCATCATAGTGATGGCTTTTGGGAAGAAACGGTTCTTGAGTCTGTTGGTTTTGGCGTACAGTGCTCTGTAGCGCCTACCAGAGGGGAGGAGCTGGAACAGGTTGTGTCCGGGGTGAGATGGATCTGCAGTGATGTTTCCTGTATGGAGGGCAGGTTGGTTAATGGTTTTTTCTGCAGTCCTGACTGTCCGTTGCAGTCTGCTCCTGTCCTTTTTGGTGGCAGATCCAAACCAGACAGTGATGGAGGTGCAGAGGACAGACTGGATGATGGCTGTGTAGAAGTGGATTAGCAGCTCCTTAGGCAGGTTGAGCTTCCTGAGCTGGCACAGGAAGTACATCCTCTGCTGGGCCTTCTTGATGATGGTGTCAGTGTTGGGCTCCCACTTGACGTCCTTATTTGACAAGTGAGCATGTAAATGAGCTGTATCTGTCTTGATCTTGGATAATTTGACTCCATTCACTACTTTGCTGTATTAATACACCAGAATCATAATGGAAGAGCATTTTATTGCCCTAATATTGTTACAATCTTATTAACAGAAATGCTTGGTGTTTTCAGTAGGGTCATTGGGTGCCTTGCCACCTACCTGCTGTGAGAGTCAGTGTGTTCCTGTTTAACTTGTATACTGCTGACCTTGTCTGGAACATGCTAATTGTTAGCAAATAGGCTTGATATTTTTGCCAGAGATGCTTTAATGTGAGTAACTGTCACTCTAGTCAATATCATGGCAGAATTCACGCTGAATAATGCGAGATGACCTCAAACAAAATGAAGTCAGAGGAGGTGACTGCTGAGGGGCACAACCCCCTCAGAGCAATAAGGGTGATGAGTCTCCATGTTTTTGTTTGTTTGGGGTTTTGCGCACAGGAGTGGCTAATCATCTGCCACTGAGAGCCAACAGTCTGCAGATTTTCATCCCAATCGAACATCTCAGCAAGTGATTTCACAGATCAGTTCTTCACCTCTACGGAAAGCCACTCACTGGGTGAAGTTCTTGGTTAAAATCAAAACATAGTTGGCTCTCCTTGGTTGACAATTTCTGAACTAGTGGGTGATACCCTTTGCTGCATTGGCTGTGCAAGACTTAAGAATATTCAGAAATACCGAGATTTGGTTGACAAAATGTGTGTAATGATGATTTTAAACAGGTTAGCTTAGAAACGTAGTTACAATTATAACTTTTACTCAAAGGTACTTAGCTTTTTTTTTTTTTACCACTTGTGGCACTGTAGTGCACTGAACAGGGGATACAACATAAATCAAAGAGAAGAATGCAAACCAAGCTTGTTTAATAACATTTAAAAATGTCTCATGAGGTAGGAACAAATAAAACAGTGCTTTTGGTGAAATACCTGAAGATGAAATCTAAACAAAACGTGATGTAGCCATGTCTGTATTGGATTATGTGGATGAGTATATACTTTGAGTAAATGTGAGTACCTGGAGGAGGTATCGGGAGACGGCGATCAGGTCCTCTCGTCTTCGTGTTCCTGGTGGGTTTAAATCCCGCCTCTTTCATTGCAGACGCAGATGGTGAGGGGGCATCAGGACGTTTGGGCTAGACAAACACAAAAACGTTCCCCTGCATGACTGATTTCCAGCATTGTCTAATGTGCATATCCATGTGGTGTAAGCACTCCCTGCATTCTGTTACTGTGTATTCTTGCATTTTTCAGGCATCTCTGTGTATACCTGTGGAGCAGGAGGGTTGTCCATCTGGGGTTTAAGGATCTGTAAAGCTTCATCACGAGGGGTTTGCATCTTCTTAAACTTCCCCTCTGGTCTCCTAAACACATCCACACAGAGTCAACATCACACAATATAGTTTGCAGGATATTTTAACTACAAGTGTAGTGTATTGTATTGTATTGTATTGCATTGTAACTACTGCGTGTTTGTACTTATTGTGTGCAAATACAATCATTCTGGGGCTGTGTGTGCTCACTATGTGCAAAACTGTCTGAAGATAGCATCAACTGCTGTGCTGTATTTCTAGGCAAACATCCATCCATTTAAAACTATGATAACTGTGCTCACACCTCAACCCTTATCAGTCTGTGTGTTTGTGTGTGTGTTTGTTAGACCTCACCTTTTGCCAGGTGGCAGTGGGTCTGGCGGTGGAGGTGGGGAGTTGTACCTTTTGATAATTTCTTCAAAACAATAATAACCATGAGAGAATTATGTTGATTACACATTACATTTTCCTTCATTGTGTCATAGCAATTGTGTCTGTTAGAAATCAACTATAAAATCCTCATTCAGTCAAATAAACTTGTTTAATGAATCATAACATCAATATTTTTCAGCTTACCTTGGATATCTTGGCTGGGGACGATCGCATCCGAAGACCGAGCTGAGTACTTCACCACCTCTTCAGCAGGGGGGGGAGGAGATGTCACCACTGGGGCTAAAACACACACACACACAAACACACACACACACACACACACACACACAAACACAAAAAAACAAACAAAAAAACAGCCAATAAGGGGTTATGCCTTCTTGTGTAAAGCTCTCTTAAATAGGAGTTTTAGTGAAATGTACAGAAGGGACTTTCTCTTTATTTCTTGCTTGCTCTCTCTCTCATGTTTTTTCTCTCTTTTTCTCTTACCAAACTTCTTGACTCGTGTGTCCTTGTTTATGGGAATGCCAGGAGCCTTCCTCCGAGGGACGCTGTCCTTACCTGACTGTACCTGGAAAAAAACAAACAAACAGAGACGACAGAGAGTTTGCACTTAAGGCGTTGCAGACATTTTGTCTCTTGTGATTTTGTAGGAACCAGGACAATTTCACAGCAAAGAAGAATGGAAGAAAAAGGACATTGCACTCTTCTGTATAAATGCAACACATTTTGTTCGTTACAGATCCAAAACCTGTGGGAGTGATAATCTACAATTAGGCATGATATTTTTATTTTGTCAACAACCTTGGTGCAAGGATTATTGTGGGGTTTTGGTGTTTCTGTGAAGTTCAGTTGACACATTCATTTATTGTTCTACTTAACTGCACCCTAATGTTCAGTTTTATAAAACTGGAACTAAACAATCAATCTAATCAAAACATCACAACATCATACAATGATGAAATATTGAATTATTGCCCTGAATTAAAGAGATTATATCACCAGACATTTATTACTGCAGACACTGAGTAATCTTTTGTTTTGTCTGGCTATATTTCTTTTTCTTTTTCTTCACCTTTACTCAGGTCTCTCTTGCAAATGAGATTTCTTTGAGACTACCTGATTACACAAAGATCCATACATACACTTGCTTTCCCTTGAGTGATGGAAATGAGCATGTTTCTTATCTTGGATCTCCAGTTGGTGAGCTTCCATTGCTCTTTTTGCCATCTGACTACACAGTTCTTATTTTTATTGCAAACAAACCACTCACTCCTTCCATAAAAGGAAACTCGTTGCTTTGTGTTGTTTTTTTTCCTAGGGAAACTTTGCCTGTTGTTGTTGTTGGAGTTTACAACAACAACTATGACATCTTACATAAATTAAAAATTACTGATGATTATATAAAATGTCATTTTGGACTGTTACCTCACATGTCTCCGAGTTACTGACCTGTGCAGCAGCATTAGCTTTAAGCTGTGGTGGCTCTGGTTTGTTGGTTTTGGTGGCACTCGGCTGAGGGTTGGGGTTGTTGTGGGGAGCCGGAGGCTGAGTCTGGGGCTCAGCAGGAGGCTGAGCTTGAGGCGGGATGTTTGCTGCAGCATACGTAGTGGGAGTGAAGTTAGCGTAGGGGCTGGGTGGGATGTTAGCGTATGGACTCGGGGGTATGACAGCATAGGGGCTGGCAGGGGTGTACGGGCTGGGAGGGTGGTGGAGCAGAGGGCTCATGGGAGGGCTTGTGATTGGTGAGGTGGGGGGGCTTGTCACTGGGCTGCCGACCATGGCCATGGCCTGCATGGTCATCTGCTGGGCCTGAGAAACAAATAGATGACGCATTAATTCCAAAACAAGAGCACTGGAACAAATAAACAGATGCAGATCCAGATGGAGGGTTTACCATGATGATGGCCTGCTGGTTCACGATAGCCTGCTGCTGCTGGGCCAAAACAGCCTGCCGTTCATCTGGAGAAGAGTGAATGAGAAACACAGTAAACAGGATGGAGGATTGAAAATTATTTTTGATAAATTTTTTCTTGCTACGAACCAAGTGTTACAGGTGCCACTGCAGCAATAGGAGGCGACATCACACCTCCCACAGGAAGGACTCTCACAGCTGTGGACATGCAAAGACACATCGGATTTCTGTCAGATGTTGTGTGTTTTTATTTTATTACGCTTGCTAATCATTTCTGGATATATTAAGGTTCTTCCAGTGTGTTAGGCCCCATCCACACTACTCTGTTTTAGTTTAAAAACAGAGTTTTAAAACAAACAAACAAACATCTCTGTCCACACCACTCCACACACATCGTTTTACCTGCGTATCAGAGCTGATCTGCATCTATATTAAAACGACTGTTACAGAAGATTTGGCAAAAGAAGAAAGTACTGCAGAGGAAGAATCACACCAGATTTTTGCATGGACCAAGAACGAGCTGGGACTGTTATTGAATGTAACACGGGAGTTAAAAACGGCTGTGACAGCAGAAAACAGACTGGAAGTCCTCTCAAAGTAAATCGCGACATGCATAGTAACTTACAAGTGTAGGCTATAAGTGTTTTTTGCACGGTACAAGATATTTTAATAAAAATACTAAATCAAAAACTCTGTCAGTAGCATTGTGTTTCTGCTTTGCATGACTTATACGACCCAATCAGAGATCCAAACATGAGTGTCTGCGTCATCATCGTTTCTAAATCGTTTGCCCGTCCACACGAAAACGCTACCCGGAGTTATAAAATGTTTTAGTTCCCATTTTAGTCTGGACCGGGAGGCGCAAACGTAGCAAAAGGTCTCCGTTTTGAAACGAAAACGCAGTAGTGTGGATGGGGCCTTAGTGGTGCCCATGGCTTTGTCCAAATGACTCCACATTCACTTTATTTGAGTGCCCAAATATAGTGTGTGCTATGCTACGCTCAAATATTTCCACAGCATGTACACTACTAACTGGATTTTATAGATGGAGAAATTAAAGCTGTGTGACATTACACCTGTCAGTGATTAAACATTATGTGATTTACTATATCTACTAAAGAATTAACAAATCACTGTTTATTAAACAGGAAATAGTGAATGAGTGATCAAGGGAGCAATTCTGGTTTATAACTGACCTCCAGGTGGAGGTGGGGGGCCGGCTGACTGCCCTTGCTGTTGCCACCCTCCTCCAACTCCTCCAGCCCCCTTCATCCTACTGTACAGTCCTGCAGCAGATTCTACCTCCTGTAAGGACGGGAGGACAGACTTTGGATTGCAACATGAATATATAGAACCAAGATGGCTGATAATTCACAAGAATTCTCAGTACAGACATGCCAAAGATATGTGAAAGAGTGATGCCATTACATCATTATCACCTTTAAATGTTCTACTCAGTACCTATCTTGGTCATAGTTTAAAAATATTTGCCAATACATTGTTATCTGAAATTTTAAACTCTCAAATATCAATATCATCAGTACCAGTCTCAGGCTATGGTCAAAAGTACAGAGCATCAAAAGATGGCAAATGTCTGGTCTGTCAAGTTAATGTACATTTTTTTTTTGTTAAATGACAAAGGAGATCTGTAGAGACACATCTCCATTAAAGAATGGTATTTTCTTTGAGTTATTTTGGTATCAAAACATTTCATATGATATGTCAAATGGATTTACTGTTACAATAGATTAAAATGGCATCTCAGAGTCAAAACCAAACCACTCCAACAGCTGCATTTACTTCTCTACAGCTGATCTGTGTGTTCAGTATGCTCCAAACAAGTTTCAATTAACTAACAGATCACTAAATATACTATAGTCACTGAGCTGGCAATAAATAACATGGAATTAGAGCACCTAGAAATACTGTGGAGAAACTACGCCACAACGATGGAGGTTTGAGAAGTTTCTGTGGATGTTTTGTTACATTTTGACTCTGGCTCACCATTAAAATCCATTGTAACTTTTGTGATTCCAAGATGACTACAACAGCTGTCCTCTGTGAAGGAGCAAACTACAGACAGAGCTACCTTTTAAGCCAACAGGTGAAATATTTTATACTAAAACCGACTGCTAGAAAGACATAGAGAGAGAGATAAAAATATATGATTTGTGCAATCAGAGCACTTTCTGAAAGTCAGATCAGAGGAATCCCTGTCTTATGTGTGCAGCCGTTCCATCAGAAATCAGCCACTGACCCATAAATCCACAGGAGTGTGTGTGTTTTAGTCCATGTCTCATTAAATAGTAAGCCCTTCATTTGCCAGAGTGTCAATTCCTCGTAAGCAGATCCCCGCGTTGCCTGGGTGGGAAATCACCGTGGCGATCTAGTGGCTGTGACAGTTACGGTAACTGGGTAACGTAATAGGTTGCTGGGCGGGAGAGGTCTGTAGAACACATCTGATACATGCTAATTCCTGTCAGCCACATCCGATAGCACGGCTAACATTCACCACATCGTCGTCGCAGCTGAAGACTGATAGATCCAACATGGTCAGCATTCACTGCACCATTGCCCTCACTAAATACGTACAGATTTGAACAGTGATGACGTATAACGTCCGTGGTGGAGACAATGCATCATAAATGAGCTGACATACTGTAGGTGTTTTATTGCTGCTTAAACTGAGTAGAGAGGAGTGATCTAAGTATTTGCAAGTCAAACAGAGCTCACAACAAAAAGTTCTTCTCTGTCCTCTGCTACATACACAATGAGGATCCTATCCTATTAAAGAGAAACTGCCATTTAGTTTATACTGCTTGTACTTGTTTACAAGTGAAACTAGCAAACCAGACCGGGTTCATACTACAAACAAAATCATATCACTTTTACTAAGTATTCTATTTCACTGTGCCCTGACATGTACATCACGTGTCTGGATTACAGATGAAGCCCCCTGTTTTAAATAATGGCTGCAAACTATAACAAGTATCGTTCCATTTGAGTCTTTCTCTTCAGCGCTGAAGGACAAACTTTCTACTTTGATTAAATCTGAGATCTGTACTTGAACTACATGGGCAATGAGAAAGCCCAAAGACAGATCAACGTAGGCATCTAATGTTATTTAGTGTATGAATGACAAGAAGCTTCTTCTTTAAATTATTCTATGACTGTATAATATTAGTATTGTTGCTTTTTTTAGTTTATACAAATATATGGTTGTTTCTTCTTCTTTTAAATGTATCTGTCTTTTTAGTCATTTTCTTCATCCCTACTACCTTTGTTATGCAAAAAAGTTCAAATGAAAAATGTAAATTAAGTAAATTAACACTCATTATAATGTAGGTTCACTCCATGCTAACTCTCAAGTAAAATAGAGCTTTTTATGTCCTGTTCAATAACTGAAAGTACATGGTTGACAGAAGAATCCCTTCTGAGGTGGTCAAGTGTGTCACTCTGAGCGAATTGTGTAACTTACTCCAGCTCCGTCAGAGAGGACAGGGTCAAACAGGCTGTCGAGATAACGATCCATCCCTTTCTGAGGCTCCAAGTCTGTGAGACAAGAGGACAGGAGAGCACTTCATGGCCTACTAAAATCTGAAATAATGTGTGCGTGCACTCATATGTTTGCTTAAATGTGTACCTGGACCATCAAAGCCAGTTATGGCTGAAGATATGACATCGTCATTCATGTTAAACCCACCACCCAACAGGCTTCTGTAAAAAGGAAGAAAAAAACACTCAAGTAATTCCAACCTCCTTCATCAGTAATTAAGCCAAGCAGTGGCAGACGAAATACTCAGAACCTTTACTTAAGTTCAAGTACATAAGTATTATCATCATGTAGTTAAAGCATCAAAAGTAAAAGTACTTGGCCCCTGTGACTGATAAATCATCATATATTACATTATGAGATTGTTAATATTGTTAAAGCTGGGGTTGGCATTTTATTTCAGAAGCATTTTTTGTTATATTTGTTGACGTTCTCACACACACACACACACACAACAATAAATCGGTATCCTGAAGGAAGTGGTTTGATTTTTTCAGTTGGATACTTTCAAAATCTAGCAGTGTCTTGCTAGTTTCTCCAAAGTTGCCTACCCCAGCTTTAATGTTAATGCATCAATGCATAAGTAACATTTTACTGTTAGTAGCTACTTGAGGTAGGTTGAGCTAGTTTTAACTACTTTTCTATACAGTTTGGTAGTTTAGCCCAGTGGTTACCAAATTAGGGGTCAAGACTCCTCCAAAGGTTCACAAGATAAATCTGTGGGATTGTGGGGCGATTAGATGGGGATTAGATCAGGCAAGTAGTGGTTTGGGGTAGGGTTGGGGTAAGTCTTAAGGAAAATGAATGTAAGTTAATATATTGTCCTCTGAAGTGATGGAAACACGACGGTGTATGTGTGTGTCTCACATGCTGGCATTGGCCCGCACTCTGGTTGGTTCCTGTGCAGAGATAATGAAGTAGCTGTTGTGTTTGGGGAAGTCAGCAGAAAGCTCCAGGTCTGACATCAGATCCAGAACATAGTCAGAGCCTTCCAGCTCCACCCACTGAGCCGGCTCCTTCAACAGCACCGACCAGCCTCGACGGCCCTCCACCACGCCCCTACACACACACACACACACACACACATACACACACAGACACACACAGACATACACACACAGACATAGACACAGACACACACACACACACACACACCACACACACACACACACACACACACACACACACACAACACACACACACATACACACACAGACACACAGACACACACACACACACACACACACACACACACACACACACACACACACACCACACAAAAAATCCAGTGATACTCTCAAACTTAAGCATGTTCATGTCAACAATTCCATCTAATTACTCTGTGGTTTCAACTTCCATGTAACCCAATCCATACACAGTATTTAGTCTGTATGTTTTACAGTAAGATGATACCTATGTTGTAAGATGTCTTTGGCCATTTCTTCTCCTGTCGTCCAGGAGTTTAGAGGACACAGGAAGGACACACCTGAAGGGGGAAAGACATGAAAATAACTTCTGACATAGCTTTTGGCATACAGTAATTAGAGGTACAATTGGGAAATGCTGTGGGGTGTTTTTTCCATCTTATAATGCATTAAGAGCCATTTCAATCAGGTTAGGAATAATTCCTCAACTGTACAATTACACAAAGTTGGTAGCAACTTCCCCTTTCTGTCTTTGAAGATTTACACAGACACCAGCAACAAACAGACATAACACAGCCAGTGAACCAGCGCGAGTATCAGGTGTCTAATCCTCAGTAGACTTGCCAAAAGGCCGGCGGACAGATTAGCTGGATGAGAGGAGGGAATGAGAGAAAGACAGATAACTCTTCTGTGCTGAATAGTGCACACTGACTGAGTGACTGGGCTCAGGTAAAAAACACAACAAAAAACAAAAAGGTGAGGTTAGGTCAACGGGAGGGAGTCAAAGTCAAAGGGAGTGAAAATGTA